GGTGGTGCTTGGGGCGGGTCGGTGGGTGGTCGGGGCGGGTTGGTGTTGCTGGCCCTGCTGGGGGCCGGTCGGTGGTGCTTGGGGCGGGTTGGTCGGTGGTCGGTGCGGGTCGGTGGTGCTGGGGGCCTGTCGGTGTTGCTTGGGGCAGGTCGGTGGTGCTTGGGGCCGGTCGGTGGGTGCTTGGGGGCGGTCGATGGTGCTTGGGGCCGGTGGGTTGTGCTTGGGTCTGGTGGGTGGTGCTTGGGGCCGGTAGGTGGTGCTTGGGGCCGGTAGGTGCTGCTTGGGGCCGGTCGGTGGCTGCTTGCGGCGGGTCGGTGGTGCTTGGGGCCGGTCGGTGGGTGCTTGCGGGCGGTCGGTGGTGCTTGGGGCCGGTGGGTTGTGCTTCATTTGATCGATAAAATTGAGTTTCTCTAATGGCTTTCTCCGCGGCTTTCCCGCAATGAAACGGCTGTGGTGTTGTTTGGTTTTAGTCAGTTCGGATGCTGATGTTGATGATTTCAGAGAACGACGATCATGATTTGAAAACGTCAAAGACGGGAAAAAAGAAAAGAAAAAAAAAGAACAGTGAAAGAAAGGTAAGATAGCAACCAACAATGTCAAACATCACGGTCAGAGACAGAAAGAAGGACGTGAGATTCTTTATTGGGGTTGCTTCCTGACGGTGTTCGCGGGCGCAAGCTGCACTGGCTGCACCTGCTTGTTAGAAGTGAATTTTTTGGTATTTGTGTTCTTCGGCTGTGTATTCTCATCATCCGGACTGGTGTGGATTGCTCCGTCCAAGACTACTTGTCATTGTGCATGTGTATGGCAACATGTGAATAACATGTTCGATTCGTTTCGATCAGGCACATAACAGATGGGTTCGGAGTGAGACCAGAGGCAAAGAAAGCAGAGGCCACTGGAAATTTGGTCAAGGCCTCTCTGGCAATTAGAGATGTGCGGTCATTTGTCAGGCCTGGTGAACTGCTACAACCAAGAAGTTCATCGGGAGTCGAGCCATGATCACCGCATCATCACTAACTTGATGACAAATAAGCATACAATGAGATAGATGGTTCCGACCGGACTACTAGAAGGGGCTGCTCGTACCCCCCCTCTCCCTGCAAGTAAAGGGCAGAGTTAAAAATAAAAATAAAAAAAATAGAGAGAGAGAGAGAGCAAGCCGGTCTGCATAAAAGACACCTTGAACTCTGACCAAAAGCATGAGCAGGGGGAGAAGAAAAAAGGGAGAGCGAGCCGGTCTGCGTTCAACCGGGTTGCAGCCGTACTGCTATGAAGCGGAAAGGATGTCATGTCCAAGTGGACAATTAGTGATAGTCTGACTGATGGGGTTGCTGGAGCATATGTTGCTGATCATATCCGTTTTTTTTTTTAAGAAACAAGTATGTATTGGCCGTGCTCCTATCCATTCGGGGAGCATCAGACTGGTTCCTGTTCTTTCCACCTGATCATATCTATCTATTGATTCTATTCTCCTATTCTTACAAATTTGGAGGCAGACGGATTCTGCAGCATTGAACTACACATTGCACAGAGGTCTACTTCTTGTGGAGAGCAAGGGAGTGCAAAGACTGTGCGTGCCCTAACACGAGCGAGTGATTAAGAACAGAAGCATTTGGCGAATGCTACACTGTGCAAGGAGTCAAGGACGCGCATTACAGATTTGGGTTGGGAAAACGTTTTTCAATAAGGGTTCCAGAGTGGAGCGCCGGAAGCGGTTCATTTACTTATTTTTTAAGAGTGAGGTTTCAATCCTTGGACGCGTGGGTTATGTGTGTCCACCCCACTTCCGCTATTTTTGGTCCGGTACATCATTTTAAAATTTGAGTTTGTGAAGGGAAAAAAAAGGCGTTCGTTTGACGCAGAGCATTTAGGGCAGCAGGCTGTCCAGGTGCAAGGTCCCACTAACCAAGAGGATTGGATTAAGTGCCGAATCAGGACGAGTTTCAAGCAGAGATACCGAAAAGCAGATCGATGCCGATTTTCTGACTTGTTCAACAAACATGTCCAGATTCAGGCGTTCGATCCAATCCTCTTTGTTAGTGGTACCTCACCCCAGGTCTACGTAGAATTTCTACTTGGTTTTGTGAAGCGTTTGTGTGCAAGGAATCGTTTTGACTATTGTGTGAAGTTCCCATCGACCTTGTGATATGATCAAGCAACCGTAAATGGAACAAGCAACCGTAAATGGAACAAGCAACCGATGGGACTCTCCTTTTCCTTTTCTTCTTTCTTTTGATTAAAATATATATATATATATATATATATATATATATATATATATATATATATATATATATATATAT